AGTGGACCTTAAGAAATGCTGATCAAGTAAAGCCTATCCAATTGTTCTACATCGTGCGGTTGACGTTCGATGATCTCAACACGCACCATGTGCCAGCTACTTGGGTTCGTTATAGAGAGAAGACAAAGGTATCCCTGTTGACATGCTATATTTGCCTTAGCTGTTATGCCAGCTCTCTTCAACCCTAGGTGCTTTTGGGGAAAACAATGACAAATATGTTTAAATGAAAAACCAGTTGATTATTTCCTCAAGAAAGTACAAATCTTGGTGAAAGAATGTAAGTACACAAACCCTGACGAACACATTATTGATGCCCTGACCTTTAGATCAAATAAACCACAAGTGCGGTCAAAACTTCTTGAACATGATGACACTTTGACACTTCAAAAAGCAATTAATGTTGCAAGAACCCAAGAGGCCACAAGTAATCAGCTGCAAGACATCACAGGCAGTCAAGCTACAACAGTCAATGGCCCAATGCATTGTCACTAAGCTAAAGATGAAAGGTCTGGACATTGTGGAAATCTTCATGACCTAACTTGAAGATCATAATGTGCCCAGCATATGGAAAAAAGTCCAATGCTTGTGGCAAGTACAATCACTGGAAGTCTGTGTGCCACTCTAGTTCAAGGATAAAGCAACTAGGTCAGAAGCAATCCAAAGACGGACGGCTAAAGAAAAGGGAGAACATCCACACCATTGACACAGCTGAAATTCTGCTAGCAGAGAACACCAACACACCACACATGCTGGACACCCCACACGTGTACTTCCACTCCTTGCACATAAAACAGTGTCTCTGTAAATGACACCCAAGCTTTACTACAGTTAAAAGTTGATAGGCCAAATCCTATCACCCCTACTCTGCAAAATTGACACTGGAGCATGGGGAAGGTCATACCTGTACACATATACAAATGTTTGCATCCACAGTCAAGCTACAGCCTAGAGGGCACACTGCTCGGACTGCTTCCAAGGAATTAGATGTTTCCAGGGGAAGTTTCATATCACCATAGACCCCACGGTTTGCCAGTTATCCATCCATCACAATGAGCAGCTGAAGCACTATGGGAGCCTCTTAAGAAATAACTTGATGCACTTGTTGAGCAAGGCATCATAACAAAAGCAGATGAGCCCACCCACTGGGTGGACTCATTAGTTTGTGTGACCAAGAACTATGGTACACTTCTGCTGTGCTAAGACCCAAAGGACCTCAATCTTGCCATCAAGTGCCCATATCACTACACCCCAACATTGGACAATGTA